CGCGTGACAGGTTGTGTTAGTTTACGTCGTGTTTCATCCCCCCTCCTCCTATAGGTTTGTTTACCTTAAGTTACATTACCCTTCTCTCATAAGACTTGGAGGAGGAGGAGGAGAGGTTCTTCTTAGGTTAGTTTACGTTGGGTTACATCATCGTTCCCCCTCCCATTGTATTATGTTAGTTTACGTTGGATTCACTTCCTCCACCCTAAGACTTGGTAGAGGAGGAGAGGTTCCTCACCTGACTTAGGTTAGTTTACGTTGGATTTACTTCCCCCACCCTAAGACTTGTCAGAGGAGGTTCTTCTTAGGTTAGTTTACGTTGGGTTACATCATCTTTCCCCCTCCCATTGCATTATGTTAGTTTACGTTGGATTTATTCCCCCCCTCCACCCCTCTTCCCATTACCACGGTGGTGGGGCGGGTGGGTGAAGCGGAGAGGGCCTAGAACTCTCTATTTCACCCTACTTACTTCACAATAGAATATGAAACTAAAAATACAATTATTACAAAAAAAAATCGGTATACTAAAAAAAATAACAATTAAATAAAAAAATCTGTTTATTCATTGAAATATTCGATTCATTGATACTTTTTTCCATTTATTTTTATTCAAAAATTACATAAAAAAAGAACACATCATATCAATATGAATTTAACATGAATACGATATTCCATAGCTGTGAGTTTTCTAAAATCTCATGTGTAAAGTAAAATATTATTAATCATAAAGTATAAAAATGAAAATATTTTTTTTAAACAGAGAGATAGAGTTTGTAATTTTATGATATATAGTAGTTTGTTTTATATAATTCATTTTCCTTTGCCAATGATGACATTAGCAATTAATTGAGGTCATCAAAATTATTACATTCATATAAAATAATTTCTTAAATGGGTTCTTTTTCTACCAAAAAATTGTTGAACCGAAATTTACATACATATGTTTAATTGTCAAAATAAAAGGATGTGTTTGGACGCACTATATGAAAGGTCATCTCTAAATTTGTATTATTTATTATATCTATTTTTATGACATTTTTAGCATAAATAAAATCAATATAGTAGATTAAAGAAATATAAGTAATAAATCAATTTTATTGAAAAACTTTTCTACTTAAGTACAACATAAAAATCAGTTGTTACATTGGATACATAAACTTTTTCAAGCGGATTTATTAGTATTTTAATGTCAAATTTCAATTTTTTTATACGCCTGAAAGATACAGAATATTACTTCATTTTTTACACCCAAAGAAAAACCTCAATCAATTTTGATAGAGAAAATTTATCAAGGGTTTATGATAATGTTTTATTAATACGAACAAAATAACTATTCTTATAAATAATTATTGTTCAAGACAAGATAAAAAAATATTATATTGATAAATATATCATAGGTTCAATAGTAATGATATATTTATCAAATTGAACAATGAATTTATTATATAGATCGAGGTTTTTCTCTGGGTGTAAAACGCTTTCGGCTAAGTTTTAAAATGTTCAAATTCACTATTTCCTAATGGTGTAGAATACCCAGAAACTCATTTTACACTTAACAAGTTAAATGTGCACAAATCTCTATCCATTCCAAATTAGCCTTGTCGTTTCAGATTGTTTAAAGTTCTACGCTCTTGTTCTGTCGTAAACCACTCGTATGTTGAAATAGATACAATATAGTTCTTGTTTAAATACCGACCCATTTAACAGTGCGCACAATATGTTAATTGAACTGAAATGCAGTTAAACTGGCGCACCTCAAAGAAGATCTTCTAAACTCGTTACGCGTTACATAATTCCTAACAGATGTGAATCTGACTAAAAACAAAAACCGTAGCCACCGTGTAATTTATGCAGCGGGTAACTTGGGTCAAGTCCCAGATGTGCGCAAAAGAACCGTGACCGCGTGACGAAGCAGCCTCGGGCGCGCAAGAGACGCGCAAAGGCCAGACGTTTCGGTTTTTGAGCACAAGAGTAAAGACGTTGCGACTCTCGGACAAAGACAACGGGCCAGCTGATGTCGGAGTCCGTACCGAATTGTTCGCTTTTTTGCGATTAAGCCGCTGACACGCAAGTCCACCTGCCGGCAGACGTAACTGCGCCTAATGTTCGGCCGAGGAAAGACGGCTTGTGCCTAGGGATACAAAAGACTGTGCGATTAATAGCTCACGTCTTCAGCCCTCGCAAAGGGCGCGGGCCCGTCACGTATGAACAACAACAAAGGCGCACACGTTACCAAGTGCATAACATTATAAATACGTATAAGTAAAAGACGGTTACAAGACAAGACTATCATTGTCCCGTGCCGACGACTGAAAACGTCCGAGTAGAACAGTGCAACGAAGGGAGGAGGGTGGCGGTGTCGATACGTGTGTCGGGCACGCGCCCCTTCGTCCGACGGCCGTACCCGTCGAACGCGCACGAAACACCCGGCCCCAAGACGGTTTATTATATTATTATTATTATTTTTTATTATTATGTACATGCTATGTGTTCGCGCGCGCCAACGACCCTTGGAAATATGCTTAAGGATTACAT